TATAATGTCATCTTCACTTAAGGATGGCTCTTTCAGGGATTGTTCCAGGGGTGGGATTCTACCTGGTCAGACCAGTTCTATAGAACTGGTTGTTACGATTCTGCGCAGTTTGGAGAACTGGCAAATTGCGCCACTAGCTGGGCCCTCCCATCCCATCCGCTTCCCTCACCCCTGCGCAGTCACTACTTACCTGGCATGCACACCATCCAACTTGCCTGCATTGTGCTTTTGCCTAATTTTTGGTAAGTTGCTATTGCCCCCCTTTCCCCCCAACGATCAGCTGTTCCGACTATCAGTTGTGCTGGGAGATTTAAATTAGCTAGAAAGCAGGAAATTGTTGGATTTCTTGCTTTCTAGCTAATCTAAATCACTGTTGTACTGCTTTGCCTTCGCTCAGGAGGCTTCTCTGAGAGGCCCAGTCAAGGATTGTATTCAGGGGTTGGGGGGTAGATGGGAGATGTTGCCTGAGAGCAGAGCTGAACCTTTCTTAGGACTGAAGCTTTTATTTTTCAGTCTGTCTGCAGACAGATTGCAGAAAGCAGAGGTGGTATTCAGCAGGTTCTGACCAGTTCTGGAGAACCGGTAGCAGAAATTTTGAGTAGTTCGGAGAACGGGCAAATACCACCTCTGACAGGAGATTTTACACTATCCGTCCCCTGCCATGCCCACCAAGCCACATCCACAGAACTGGTAGTAAAAAAATTTGAATCCCACCATTGGCAGAAAGGTAGACCTCTGAGTGAATCTGATATTCTGCGAGTAACTCAATCTGCCTGCCTGCTTTGCCTGCTTTGGGGTAGAAGTTGCTCTTTTTTAAATAAAAAAATCAATATTTACATAAATATTTACAATATTTACATACAAGCCATGCCCACCCAGTCACATGACCACCAAGCCATGCCCAGTCAGCAAGCCATGCCTACACAGTCACATGACACCAAGCCACACCCACAAATTAGGCCACGCCCACAGAACGGGTTGTTAAGACATTTGAATCCCACCCCTGGATTGTTCAAACATGTCATGGCACTGAATGAATGATACTTATAATCAGTCCTCAAAGGTCCAGCCATTGCAGGATTCCACTTCAGCAGCTTTTTGCAAGCAAAGTCGGTGGGAAAGCCAGCAGGAGCTTGCAAATTATGACATGGTCCATGGTGATTTACTTAACAATGGCAACAAGAAGTGCTGGTACTGTAGTCACTAAGTGACACAGTCATGTGACATTGAGCTTTATAACCATGTTCTTTAGTGATGGAAATTATATTCCCAATTATCTTCATTAACATAGGATTAGCTATAAATAATTTTATTGGAAAGATTGGTCTGATACTGGAATTAAGACTTTAAATCAGTTACTATGTAATGACTATTTTAAGGATTTTTCCTGATTTGAAATTAAATTTGTAACAGTGTAGGTATCTTCAGTGTAAGCATGTTCTAATGGATAAATATGGATCAGATGCTTTTGCTGCCTCAAAGGCAACTAAGTTATTTTCTTATTTGATGGAATCCATGACAAATAAAACCTGTAACAATCCTCTATCAAAAACACACAAATATTTTTAGAGTGAATGTTTCTGGGATATTTCAGACATGGACTAAATAACAGGAATTTCCCAAAAAGATACATCAATGGCTTCATGTCTTTTAAAATGGTATCTAAAGATTTGAGATTAAGATTGATTCTTCAAAAATTGTATTTAGAGTGGATTAGATTCCCTAAAAATGTATCGAAAGACTGGACACCAGATTTCCTGTTGGAGGTGTAAGAAAATTGAGGGGTCAATGACCTGTCATATATGGACATGTGATTATTTAGCACCTTCTTTGAGATAATGTATTAATGTATATTAATAGATTTGTGACAACATGTTTAAATGTTAAAGATGCTAATGTAATAGGTGAATGGTCACTTGATCAAAATTCAGATGCTTGGTAACTGGTTTATATTTATGACAGTTGCAGTCTCCTGGGATCATGTTATCCACTTCTGAGAAGCAGAAGCCAGATTCACGTAATAATTGTTTTACTAAAATGCAGTGAGTCACCTAACACCTGTGACAAGAAAGGTCATAAAATTCACTTAACAAATGTCCAGTTAGCAACAGAAATTTTGAGCTCAATTCTGGTTGCAAATCAAGGACTACCTATAGTTTCTATTAATCAAAAGAGCAGCAATGTTTGTAACTATGGCAGAGATTCTGCAATATCTTACAATAACGTATTGTATTATTTATATTATAGTAGTGAATTCGCTGGTAAACCAGGAACTATTTTAACTATAAATATCCCCCCCATCTTAATCGTTTGCACTTTCATTTATTTAATTTTTTTTTAAGATTAATGCTTGTTTTATTTAATTTTGTTTTAAAAATCGCTCCAGTGATCCCACACTAACGTGGTACCCTTAGATCTACTGGATTTGAATCCTCAGATCTACTGGATTTGAATTGCTGTCTTCCGAATCCTGGTAACCTGACCCCACCGGAAAAGCTCAGGCTGTTCCCTAAACGGTGTCTTGGGAAATTCAAGTGTCAAGGAGAGGTCGCGGCCACGGTAAAACCCGGAGCCACGAGGAGGGAGAGACACGAGTCCGTCCGTGCGCGCAACGGCTTAAGCTCGGGATTCCGCTCTTTCAACCGTCTCCGCGGGAGCTCTCGAGCGTCCTTCTTTCAGAGAAGGACAGGAGCAGGTGGACCACTCCGAGATAGAGGCAAGTGCGCCTGCGCACGGCCTGGCTTTTGGAATGGTGGGAGCTCCTCATTCAGTGGCCGGGCCGTGGGGTTTGTGTGTGTGTGTGTGACGTCGAGATCGTTATCTGCATCTGCGAACCACCCAGCCGGAGCCGCCAGTGCGGCCGTTTCGCCCCCCCCCTCGCCTCCCGCCCCGCTTCTCTGCGAGACGTGCAACCGAGCTCAGTGAGTAACACGCAAATTCCTCTTCAGCACCGAAAGCTGCCCGCTGGCATACTTTGCATTACGACGATCCTTTATTATTATTTTTATTGCTCTTCTCTGTATTATTATATACCTTCTTTTTTCCTGCCTTCTCCCGCCTCCCCAGTCCCTTTGTGGGTCGCCTCAACCTCCAGCTCTGCCTTCCTCAGAAATGCTTAAAGTTTTGGACTTCGGGCTGCCTCGGAGCGAGTCCAACGGACAAGGCAGGAGAACAAAGGGAAAATTGAGGCAGTTTCTTGCCTCTGACGGTCGTTACATGAGCGGTTTCCCCACCCCCCCACCCCCCACCCGCGTCCCCGCGCGCGAGCCTTTAGATTTTAAAGAGACTGCAGTTCAAGGCAGAGGAAACCCTGGAGCTGATGGGGAGAGGATGGCGGAGGCTTATGGAAGTAGAGGTCATCTGGAGTGTATTTAAGGTTATGGCCGTAGGCTCCCTTCACTGCCAATGAAGTCCGTGGGACTTACTTCAGAGTAAGCGGGCTTGGGATTGGTCGGGAAGTCGAAGCGCCCAGAGGATAAGATGTGTGCGCGCTGCGGGTGTGTAAGCAGTTCTCCTTATGGCAGAGAGACGCTTCTTCTGTATGGGGAGCGGCGTTATTCCGGCTGCTTGCAGGCAGGTGGTAGCGGTCGGGTTAACGGATTTCCTTCGCTTTCACTGGGTTTCCCAAGATGGGGTGTTTTTTTTTTTAAATTCCAGGGCTAGACAGTGTCTTCATACACAGCTCAGCAAATGCACACCAATAGGGCTGTTGGGTCTCGGCTATCCCCTCTCCCCCCACCCCCCCAAAAAACTCCAACCAACCCAAACAAACCAGAAAATATGATGCTGTCTTCTTGTGATTGTCTGGCTTTTTGCAGCTCAGATCTGGTAGTCCTTTTTTTTTAGGCTCATTTTCTTAGGCAGTTTCTTCTGTTCTGTATTCCATTGTGCTGGAGGTAAATGTACTCAGTCTAAGCGTTTAAAACACATGTTTAAAACTGTACTTCTTTGTTTTGCATGCAGTTCAGAAGCTCTTTGTTTTCAGTATAATTTTGTTCCCTGTTTTGGGGAGTTTCCTAAAACTCCAGACTTTTGTATCGGGAAGAAATTGTGATGTGTTCAGAGAATCTGTTGAATTAATATTTATAATTGAATATTTATTCTGTCTTTTAAATTTAGCTGTTAAAAATAATTCATTCAATTCATATGCCAAGTTTTGCTCTGGAAGTAATAGAACTCAATAGAAGGTATTTATTGCTTGATGTTTGTGTGCATGGTAGATGTTATAAAATTTCGGAAAAATGAAAAAAAAAGCTTTACCTAATTTTATCCTCAAATGTGTCTCTACTTTTTATGTGACAGGACAGATTATACATGAATGTATATAAATGACATGCTTTTCAGAATATTAAAATTGATCTAGACTTAAGCTAGGCTTAAACAATTAGGATAGGGATTTTAATGGAGATCAGGGATTCCAGCCGTCCTGTGTTTCTATTCTGAGGTGAGAGCCTGATTATAGTCTGTTCTTTTCTAGCCTCAGGGAGCAGCAGCTGGGAACTGCTACGTGAGAAGACAAAAGCAGCATGCTGACCTTCTGTGCATGATTTCTCTCCCGCTCCCTCTGCATTGATAGACATGTCATCTGAAGACTTTAACGCGGAAACAGGAATAGTACATCTTCAGAATCTACAGTCTTATTGCCAATGATGCAGGCAGTCAAGGACCCTCATCTAGAATGGCAGGGCATCATTAGGAGCCATGGGGGAATTAGTCTGCTGAGGGGGAGTGGTCCAGTTCACTTTGTTTAAAGGTCAGCTGCTGGCAGAGGAGAGCAGTGTTAAGAAGTATGGAACTATAATAAAATCTGCTGGACATGTGCTCTCATGTGTTCATGTAACAGCGTGAATTGTAGGGTCTCTTTTTTCCAGAGTGGCTTGGAGAGATCTGGAAAGCCATAGAGGATGATTGTTCTTGGGCTGAAAAAAGCATACATTTGAACAAGGTCATGCATATAACAGGGAATTGGTAATTCAGCCCAAACCAAGCTTGCTCTCAGTATGCTTTTATCAGGAATAATAAAGCACCAGCATCCAAACTCTCTTGGAGAGGAGCGACCAGAAAAACAAGATAAGAATTCTCGGTCCAAAAGTTTGCCAGTTCTGAATGGATCTGTTCCGCAGATTAATATCACACAAAGTGCTCTCATCGCAGCCAAAAAGAACTTCTTACAGAGTTTGCAGGGGGACTCTGATCAGAGGTGTGGCCTTGACCCTGATATATCAGCACATCACAGTAATGCTACCGCTACTTCCTCCAAGGCAGTGTTGTCTTTTACAGCTTCCAGCTTTTCAAGAATGGGGAATTTCATTGAAAGAAGTGATTGCAACAACTCCACTAGATTAAGTAATGGCATGTCACCAGCTTCCACGCTGCTAGTAATCCCTGGTAGAAAATACCTTGCTATAGTATTGAGAGACTCTAGATTCTTTTTGATATGTATGTGTTTCCTGACTTTCATTCAGTCGCTAATGGTCTCTGGTTACCTGAGCAGTGTTATCACTACCATTGAGAGAAGATATAGCCTGAAAAGCTCTGAATCTGGGCTATTGGTCAGCTGCTTCGATATTGGCAGCCTTTTAGTAGTGGTCTTCATCAGTTATTTTGGTGGGCAAGGGCGAAGGCCTCTGTGGCTTGCTATTGGTGGGTTATTTATTGCTCTTGGGGCTGCCGTATTTTCTTTACCTCATTTCATCTCTGCACCATATCAAATCCAAGAATTAAACTCCTCTGTTTCTAATGATGGCTTGTGTTTGACTGGAAATATTTCAATGAAAGGCCACCTGGAATCATCAGGCTGTATGAAGAATTCACGTGGAAATGGCCACTCACTCTATGTAGCTTTGTTTATTTGTGCCCAAATTCTCATTGGAATGGGCTCTACACCTATCTACACTCTAGGACCAACCTACTTGGATGATAATGTCAAGAAAGAAAACTCATCACTCTATCTAGGTAAGGTTGATGTTTGTCCAGATTTTTGTATGATTATTTTGAAAGGAGTCCAACTTCCACTTTAAAGCTCCCAAACCAATGCAGCAGCTTTAAATGTATTTGAATGTTTAGATAGATAGACAGACATAGTAGCTAATATTTGCCAGAATAAAGACTTCAATAGCTGTTACTTAATCTTCTAAAAACTTTGTCCCATTATCTCTTATATCCTGTATTTTCTTCCATGTTGAAATACCTATGGAAACAATTGAAGTGGTACTTATCTTTTTCATGAGGGAAATGGAATATAAAATTGTTTCCTTTCCAATGGATTATATTTATGATCTCTCCCTCCCACTCCTCTCTCTCTTTCTGTTTCTACACACACACCTCACACATACACATATGTGTGTGTAATATAAAATAAATTTATATATATTATATATTTTTTCATTAAATGTTTAAAGCAGTTTATATTTAAACAATTTTATCATGTATTTTAAACCATATACACACAATCATAAAACTTCAATAGGAGAACCAGCAATAACAGATATTATGGTAACTGGTTAAAAATTTGAGAGTGATAATATAATTTATTGTTGACACATAATTTACAGTGTAAGTTGCATAACGTTCATGGATTATGTACAGTTTTAGATTCTGAGTTTTAAAATACAGTGCGAAGATTGCTGGGAAGTTTCAAATCTTTTAAATAGTTCCTAATAAAAGTCCTGTTTGAGTAGAATTTTGATCCTTGAAGCCAGGAATATTCAAGATAGTTAAAAATGCTATTGGTAAAGCTCTTTCTGTCTATCCCAGATGCATTGTATTGCTATAGTGATATTAATAAAAGGAATTTCAGATGAACTAAAACTTACAAATCTAATTATTCTGTTTTTACAGAATGCCAAGTCTCCATTGAAAATTAAGCACAAACTAATGTTTAAACCACCATTTGACCCCAAACTGCTCTTTAGCTCTATAAGGATATTCTGATGTACTTTTAATGAGCAACTGGTTAACTAACTGCTTAACTTCCAAAATCTGTTTTGCTTTTTCCCCCCTGAAATATAAAGTAAATTTTAAAAAATGACTAGTTTTAAGAACAAAATGTATTCATCAAATATAAAACTATAGAAGCATGGAAAACAATTCAGTGGATTGTTTAATAAAATTACTTACATTTCACATTGATAATCATTCAGTTAATTAGATCTGAAAGGTATTAATGTACGCATGGCAATAAATAAAGCATTATAATTTTTTCTGAGCTTCATAATCTCTTTCATGAAATGCATGACCAGAATCTTTGTAATTCTTGGTTAGATATTTCATTTGATCAGACATTTATTGTATTACTGTATTGTCACACTGGATTAATCAAACCAGGAGTAACAATATTTAGTACAGTCAAATGTTTTCAATTTTTTTTAGTTCTTTATATATCTAAAAGTCACTTAAAAAATTCTTGTCATGTTCTCTATTTTCCCCCAGGGTCAACTAGAAATAGCTACCTGATTTCTCTTACTTGGAAAAAGAGTTTAGTGTTAACTTTTCAAAACAGATGGTAAAACCACATTCCGCAATAATTGTTGATATCTACTCTTGGTTACATTAGAAAATGCTACAGACCATAATGATCTTAGCTTTAGTTACATAAAGATCTGCAGAATGGAATGCTTGAGTTCATATGATAATCTCTACCACTTACCCTGAACTTTCCTTTAAAAAATTGTAAAAGGTTAATTTTTAAAAAAAGTTTTGAACACTTTTTTTTCTTAAGGGGACAAATGAAAACGTTTGTTTTTATACAAATTTTATACAAATGATGGGGGAAAAAGCCACCTATGTTTCCTCCTTTTTTCCTCTTGTCAAATCTGTAGTTCCCGTACCATTCTAACTGTTGATATATCTAGTGACCTGACACATTTTTCCTAGAATGCACTTACTTAAATGTTCACATGATCCCGAGAGACTTCAACCATCAAACATGTGAGTCAGTTACCAAGCATCTGAATTTGGAATTAACCAACAAAGTCAGTGGGGAAGCCAGATTCTCTTAATTGTGTTACTAACTTAAAACAGCTGCAGAGATTAACAATTGTGGCAAGAAAGGTCGTAAAATGGAGCAAAACTCACTTAACAAATGTCTCACTTAAGCAACAGAAATTTTGAGCTCAATTTTGGTAAGTTGAGAATTACCTGCATGTTTTGGACTCATAAACCAGGCTGAAGAAAATGCTGGGGGGCCTGAAAGAACAAATTCATGAAGAAGGAATATCTGCCAGGTTCTTTTAGTTTGATATATACTGTAGCAAAGGGGTGTCAAGCTGGATTTCTTCGAGGGCCGGATCAGCATGTAGTTCTTCTCCGTGGGCCGGCCGGTGGGGGGGGAGACGGGACGGTCTCCATGCCCTGTTTTGGCTGGCAGAGTACTGCAGGAGGCCTTCCAGAGGCTTCATGGGCCAGACCTTTGGTATTTCCAAGCGGGCCCTGCAGGCCAGATTTAAACACCCCGCCGGCTGGATCTGGCCTGTGGGTCTTGAGATTGACATCTCAGCTGCAGCACTATAGAGATAGCATACCTTTAAAACCCCCAGTAGTTTCTTATTCAGATAAGAATGGTTCTGCGGGTGTGGCGTGGTGGGTGTGGAATGGTGGGCATGGCAGGGGAAGGATATTGTGAAATCTCCATTTCTTCCCCACCCCACTAACCTGCTTTCCAGCTCCGTTCTCCTGTGCAGGGCAACAAAAGAAGACCTAGCCAATCAGGAGGCAGAGAATAGGTGGGGCGGGGCCAGTCAGAGGTGGTATTTGCCGGTTCTCCAAACTACTCAAAATTTCCGCTACCGGTTCTCCAGAACTGGTCAGAACCTGTTGAATACCATCACTGGTACAGATACATACACGCACAAACATGTTTTTTCTGGACTTTTTTTTACTAATCTTCCACATAGTACACAGAGATTAATAACTACAGTTAAAAGGCTAGCTATATAAAATTCAACCTCCTAAACTAAAAAGAGTTCAACCTTTGGATAACTGTTCTGCTAATCCACATGTACTCTGCCTGCTTTGGGAGAACAAATTAACATAAATACTGCAAAAATGACTTTCAGTTTTGGGTGATTATGGATCTTTGCAAGAGGGATTGTTTGTTGGTTGGTTATAACTTATATTCTGCACAACTATTCTGTGAACAAGTCTGCGTGATTCATAGATTAAAAGAGGAGGGAGAATCATTATTACGATCAGTGAAAATAAAGTAGGAAAATATAGCAAAGATGACAAAGCCATACAGAAATGAAAATGAACAGACCCATACAATCCAAAGGGAATTTTAAGTCATCCTTGCCAAAGGCTTGGCCAAAAGCCAGGAACACCCCTAAGAAGTGCAGCAAGGGAGGACATTAGAGTTTATAGTTTTTATGTAGGTTAAATTATCAGTTTTTATGTAGATAAAGTAATCAAAGTAAAATCAGAATTAACTATGCTTATTTTTTCATGTTGATACAGTCTGTGATCCCAGACTGCAATAGGACGTATTAGAAGTTTAGAATCATAAACTGATTTTGGTTGTTAAGCTTTTGTTTCACTTAATGTGAGTTATCATTTTTATGTAGCAATAATGCTGTCTTTCTAACATTTAGTTTGAAGAAGATAAACCAGACAGTAGTTTAAGTTGAAGAGGATAACAGACAGTATAAATATTTAGCTTGAAGAAGATAAACAGACAGTAAAGTCAGTCTTTTCAAAAACTGAAAGAATAGCTGTGGGCCAGAATAGCTGACGCCACAGTGAATTTGTTTGTAAGATGCCAAGAGACTTTTGGTGTTTTTTCTGAGATTGTCATTTTTCAACTTTAGACAAGAAAATTGAATTAACAATCATACTGCGGCATGGGCTGTGATACTCATATCGTGTATTTGTGTATGTTTGTGCATGTGTATTTGTGCATGTAACAACTCTGCTGCATGAGCTGCATTGGGTGCCAGTTTCTTACTGGATCCAATTTGAGGTGTTATTACCTTTAAGGTTCTTCGTGGTATCGGGCCAGATTACGTGAGGGACTGTCGCATTCCTATTTCATTGACCTGTCCCATTCGAAATTTCAACTGGCAGGGTCCAGGAATAAAGCTTTTTGTACTGCTACTCGCACTCTATGGAACATCTTGTCCCCAGAGGTGAAGGGCGCCCCCATGTTTTTTTCCTTTCAGAAAGGTGCCAAGACCTGGCTCTGGCAATTGGCATGGGGATCAAACAGTGTCACACAACCTTTTGGGGGGGGGGAAGGTGGCTTAATGGCATACCCCCATCTTTTAAAACTTGTAATTTTTAACTTTTAACTTTCATTTTAATTCTGTGGTGGTGCATCCATTTTAGTGCTTCTGAATCGGTTTAAAGGTTTTGAGCAGTGGTTCTTCTGTCTCAAGAACCAATTTCAGTTGGTGTTTACTGAAGGAAGGGAAGTTCATTCATTCATAATTAATATGGTTGCCCATCTCCTTGCTATGACTTTGTGTGCTTACATGGCCTCAACGCTCCTCTATGAGATACCTCTATACCTCTGTTGCACACGTATATTCAGACTATCACATTTGTCATTTATATTGTAATGAGGGCTGAAAGAGAGTGACTGTTTCAAGGTCACTCAGCCTCTGTGTCTAAAACAATATTAGAACTCAGGCTTGCCAACTCCTACTCCAGTGCCCTACACACTAGTCAAAGTGACTCGCCTATAAATCTAATAATAAGATGAATCTTTGGTATAGCAATTGATATGTACAGACTTTGGCAACTTTCCTCTTTGTTTCAGGAGAGAAGCTTCTTACCAGCTTGTTGATTCAATATTTAGCCATCAGGATTCAGGAGCATTATTAGAAAAGTCTATGACTGATAGTTAGAACAGCAAAACATGAGAAATCCATCTGATTGAATTTTCTGAATAAAGCTGTTACACCTGTCTTCCAGAATCTTAGATATCATAATATCAAATCTAGTCAGCAAGAATGTTCTATTGTACTATGCGAAACATGCAGAATGCAGGGAAAACATGGTTGGCTAAAGTAAATGGTCTTCGGCTTAGAGCAGCTATACAGTAATTGAGAGCAAGATCTAGACTTCAACCTTTTGGTAATTTAGATGCTTCATCTACAGAACCTTTTTTTCTGGTACCAAGATGTCCTGTAATCCTTGTTTAGAACATGATTTTATAATGAAACCTTTGAGCTGCTAGCTAAAGATGATATGAGGGCTGAAAATTTAAAAAAACAAAACATTTTTTTCTCTAGAGTTGCAGAGCAAATATGCTCAAATGCATTTCTCTCTAGAGTTCTACTGACCTTGATCTTCTCTTCTAAAAGAAAAGTTTACCTGGAAGGTGACAAATAGTCCAGTGACAATAGCCAATTGGGTTCTATTTCTTTGGTTGTAAGAAAATATTTGTAAGATGAAAATATTTCTGTCCTTATCCTTTCCAGTGTAATTTTAGACAAAAATTAACATTTCACCAGAAGGTATTGGTGAGTTTTAATAACAAAAAATAGAGTTTACAATTTTTGTTATTGCTTTAAAGTTCTGTAATCCGTTGGAAGCATGTTTCATTTATACTAATGTAAGCCTTCAAGTTTTAAAAATAGTCTTCCTGGCACCCAGTAAGAGATATTGATTTATAAGATCCAAATTTAAAACATCAGAAGATTTAAGATAATATTCAAAAAGGATATTAATCAACCATCAAATAATAGCATTAGGGTAGACTTTTAACTTTCAGCTAGCAGTGGCCTATGCCTGATAATAATAGTACTAATAATAAAAGGTTACATCTGTATTGATCAATGTGAGTTTATGTTGTGGTCCAGCTTCCTGGTTACTAAAAGCTAAATATATTATAGCAAGTAGAAATACTGTATCTCCTTGCACAGTAAATGCTGTTTTCACTCCTGATATTCTACATTTGAATTCCACTCCTTACAGAAATCTTCCAACTCCCTCATTTTGTCCCCTTCTATAATACAAATCTTTTTTTTCTTTTTGCCTAAAAACACTTCTTTATTAGTAGCAACAAATAGGTGATTAAAAAAAAGATTCAGTAAATCTGGACACAGATATATGTGATCTCCTTGGAATCTTTATTGGTACACTAAAAGTTGAATGTTGTTCTCACTCTCATTTAATGGGAAGTGGTAGATGCTGCTATTGCCAGTAGGACATTTTTAAAGAACATTTAGAATGTACCTACCAATAATTTTCATCCAGAAAGCAATGGAGACAGCATCTGTTATTATCTGTACTATACAATATTTCTCCTTACTATAAAACTTACATAATGTCTGTTTGACTAACAGCTGCTGCACATTGTAGTATTATGTGTGACCAATATAAAGTAGAGCTATATATACTATTTAAGTGACTTATGTCTGAATCCTGATGTAAAATATTTTAAAACTTGTTTTTGGTCCATGAATTTTTAATTGCATTAATTGTCTGGAAAATATATATGGTAATTGTATTAATTATTTTCCTCAATTCTGTTAGTTTTCATGTCTTTTAAGTTATATAATCTATCTCATAATTTTGGCTGAAAATTATCATTCTTTTCACCTTTATGCCATTTCCTCAAAAGCCTGCGTAAGACTGGATTGTTATTCTGTGTTGAGATTTTAATTGCATTTCTTAATCCATATAAAAAACACAATTAAAATCTAACATACAATCACATCCTAACAGACAGATTATACATTTATATATCGATTGTAGATAAATAATTACTTCATCAATGGCTATTTAAATTTGCAATTTTATTTGAATTTGATTCCTATTCCAAATAATTTGTATCTTATTCAATCACAATTCCTATGTTAATTAAAATGTGCTAATTACTCCTGGATTTAATTGATTATAAATATGAATAATAATATTCCTGTAGCCAAGGTATTCTTTATTTCTGAAATTATGATGCTTGAAATCTGGTTAACTTGAAATCTGTAAATTATGCAAATTCTTGTCATGTTCTCTTGATACTAGAAGGAAGTATAAGATGAAGAATGTAATGTAAGAGATTGGTATTTACAACATACTCAGTCAAACATATACTCCTTTACTTCTTTATTAAGGCCATGTTAATTATGCTACTTGATAATCATTCCATCCCATCAACAGAATTCATTAATAAAACGTATCTTAATAGCAAGTATACCCAATATTAAATATTCAGTGCTCAGTAAAATTTATAATGAAATTCAGAGTAAATGGAGAAAATAATCTGTATTTAAAGACCAGCGCTATTGAGAATTTTTGAAAAGGTAAATTTGCTTTTCAAAACGTTAAAATGTTTTGCAAGACAAAATATCACTAATAATAAATAAATGTAATCTATCAGTTTGAGTTTCAAAGTTGAATGCTTATTTTATTTTCCATGACCATAGTGCTCAAGAAATTTTTCCTGCACGTTTGCTAGTGAATGAATAAAAGTTTACATATATAAAAATTGACCTATTTTTAATTTCAGTTGACATTTTCCAATCTAATTGTACTCTTGAATGCTATATTCTCCTATCAATGTACAAAGCAAAACAGAACTAGAATATACTTGAATCTTAAATGTTCCACTGTACAGTTTTTATTCTCGTATGTGTTTAATTGTTGTTTTTTCATTTAGTTGAGCTGCATTTAAGAAAGATGCACAGAGAATATAGGGAAAAGACAGAAATTGCAGAAAAAAGAACAAGTAGCTGTGGTGGATATACAAAAGCCCAGGAAAATGCTTTGTCTCCTGCCCTTTTATTCTTGAAAATGGTTAAATTACTTTAACATATTGTTTGATTTGTTTTGGATTTTCTTTTCTCTTTTACAGCTATCATGTATGTAATGGGAGCTCTTGGTCCTGCAGCAGGATATTTATTAGGAGGAGTTCTTATTGGGTTTTATGTGCATCCTACAAGTACTGTTCAGATTGACCAAAGTGACCCACGGTTCATTGGTAACTGGTAAGCTGCAATCATGGGGATTTTATGTGGAAAATAATAATGTTTAACATTTGATCATTATTTGATCAGTAATATTTAACATCTGGTCATGTATTCTTTGATCCTGTATGCTGTGTTTTGAATAGCTGTAGCGAAAGACAGATGTATAGATTGTTCAAATGCTGCTAACTTTACAAACATTTACTTATAATTCTATTTCTATATTTTAGGAATATTTAAACTAACAAAGTTACTCTCTAAAAAAAAAAAAGTAATAATAATAATGGAGCTGATGTCTTACTTTTCCACCTGGCATGTTTCTACTTGTGTGTGCAAGTTTCTGGCACAGCTTGTCAACAGTATAGGAAGAAGAATAGAATTAGATTAGATTAGATTAGATTAGAATAGAATAGAATAGAATAGAATAGAATAGAATAGAATAGAATAGAATAGAATAGAATAGAATA